TTTCAGCTCTTCTAGGTCCTTTGCATTTTTGTATAAATTTTTGAATCAGCTGGTCTGTTTTTATCACAAGAGCCTGCTGGGATTTTGCAGCTGGGAATTGCATTGATTTTACAGATCAGTTTCAGGAGAATTGACCTTAATATTATTAAGATATCTAACTCATGGATACTGTATAATTCTCCATCTTTTGTGTTGCCTTTAGTTTCTCTCAATAGTGTTTTGTACTTTTGAGTGAGGAGGTCTCGCACCTTTTAGTAAGTTCATCCTGAGATGTTCTGTGTTATTGGCTGTTACTGTAATTGGTATTATCTTACTCATTTCGTGTTACCTGCTGTCACCTTTGTTTCTCAGAGCTCCAGTGGGAAACTGACCGACTTCCTGAGCTTCTACACGCTCCCCTCAACAGTGATGCACCACCCAGCTCACAAGACCCTCAAAGCCGCCTACTCCTTCTACAACATTCACACAGAGACGCCCCTGTTGGACCTGATGAGTGATGCGCTCATCCTGGCTAAGTTGGTGAGCAGCTCCTTCCATTTGTGCTTTTGGTTCTCCAAATGGATATGCCAAAGGATATATAATATTCACACTATTTTCTTCCACACGGGTGGAATACGGGCAAGAGGTTTCTTTTTCTTTTTCTTTTTTTTTACTATGGACCATCAAAGGAAGAATTTTAGTAAGAGTTTTCTTTTAAACCTTTAGTGGCTATTTTTATCATTAATCTTATTGCACCCAACAAAAAAGACATTTTGTACAGATTAGCCAACTTTACCCTTAGGTAAGAGCACATAAAACCTATCAGAAAATAATACAAGGAATATAAGGAAAGGCCATGATCCCATCTTATTAGGAAAATCCTTGAGTAAATATTCAGATTGAGTGAATGATTAGCAGTAATAGTATTTTTGATTCATGGCTCGGCGCCTGTAGCTCAATGGCTAGTGTGCCAGCCACATACACTGAGCTGGCAGGTTCAAACCCAGCCCGGACCTGCCAAACAATGACAACTATAACCAAAAGATAGCCAGGCGTTGTTGGGGGCACCTGTAGTCCCAGCTACTTGGGAGACTGAGGCAAGAGAATCACTTAAACCCAAGCGTTAGAGGTTGCTGTGAGCTGTGATGCTACGGCACTCTACTGAGGGTGACATAGTGAGACTGTCTCAAAAATAATAATAATATTTTTTGATTCAACTAGTCTCTACATTTTGAAATTAAAGGAATTTAAAAACCAAAGGAATTAAATTCAAAATTTACATATTATATCCGTTATTTTTCTGTCTCCCCAATGTAGAAGTTTGGATGATTGTTAAATTTCTGCTGTTTTCCTTAAAAAGTTTAATTTACTTGAAAGATACATTTTGATGTGACATACTGAATATTGCAAAACTGTGAGAAATTAGGAACAACACATTAAGTGTTTTCCTTGTATTTCTGGAGTATTTGGTAATTGGAAAAAATCTATTAAAAATCTGTTACTGTTCTTTTAGGTCTTCAAATCAATACTGTCTTTAGATTGCTCCTTTTCAACTGCTTCCCAAAAGTGGCTGATAGTAAGTTATTTAAGGAAAAAAATCCTGAGAAATACTTAGTTGCTGCTTCTGTATCATAGTATTATTATTTAGCTTTTTTTTGAGAGAGTGAGTCACACCGTGTCACCCTTGGTACTGTGCCGTGGTGTCACAGCTCACAACCTCACTCTTGGGCTCAAGCAATTAATTCTCTTGCCTCAGCCTCCTGAGTAACTGGGACTACAGGCACCCACCACTACGCCTGGCTATTTTTAGAGATGGGGGTCTCACTCTGGCTTAGGCTGGTCTGGAACCTGTGAGCTACTATGCCCAGCTATCTGACATTTTAAAGAAATTTAATTTTTTGCCTTCCAAATTATACTGAATTTATTTCCCATTATCAGTCTATGCAACTTTGGTTCTGTGGCAGTAGCTTCAGCTAAGTCAGGACTTAGAGAATGGGTAATAATAATTCTGGAGCTGTAACCATCTACACTTTCTAAAACAAGAACAAAGTATTTTCTGAAATCTTAAAGTTAGTATTTTTAATCAGTGGCAGCCCTCATACTACCTTGTGGTTTTGATTCAGTATTTCTGAATTATCTTACTAACCTCAGATTCACTACTAGTTTTATGAGACAATTTAGAACTGAATTCTTAATGTATTACAGATATGAAACCCTATTAAAAATGCCTATTCAAGCTATTAGTAGAATAACTAAATGTTACATTGAGACGCATAACATAGAAAGCACTCTAGTTCTTTGATATTTTAAACTGTAAATCCTTTTTTCCATTGACAGAAAGGATTTGATGTATTCAATGCCTTGGATTTGATGGAAAATAAGACTTTCTTGGAAAAACTCAAGTTTGGTGTAGGAGATGGCAATTTGCAGTATTACCTGTACAACTGGAGATGTCCGGGAACAGATTCTGAGAAGGTAAGTGACAGCCCCATACTTGCCACCCTTAGGATTAACAGAGATTTTTCAGTAGCTTTGAAAACCACAGATCTGTTGTGCTACGTTTCAATTTACTTTTTCTTACCATCCCACCTGTTCCCTCCCTTTAGGTTGGACTGGTTCTACAGTAGATGGATGTTTTTATTTCTAGAACTCTGACATCATTTGTTAATATTCTATTTAAAGATTTCTGGAACTGCTAATCCAAAGAAGAATAAAAGCACAATTTAAATGAACCTGAGCAGTGGATAAACAATCAGAGAAGATGAAAAATCCAGACGTGACCAATAGTATACATGTCTAGCTAGGACGGTCAAACTCATCCTTTTTTCACTGTTTACGTGTTTGTAAGAGGGATGAAAGGGTACAGAAGAGCTCATTCTTCTGAGGTTCAAACCTTTGGTTGTCTCTTCATGAAGAGAGAGGTATTTTTCCTCTAGAAAAGGGATTTTTTTTTCCTCCCTGTGGACTCAAAGGTCACAGAATCATGTAAGAAAATCTTTGCTGTTATGTGAAGATAAAAGTGCTGCCTTTCTATTTATTGAGTGTATCTGTCCATGTAACAGAATGAAGGATCCACTTGGAAAATTCTTGCTTCTGTCTGACACGGTTGGGAACATATATGGAATTAACACATTCTGTAACTCAGTGACAAGTGGTAGATGGTGAAAGTGGGGAGCAGTCTAAAAATGTACCAATGGCTAGGACATCTCTTTCTCCCTAAGCAAAGTTGCCAGATCAGTAAATCTACAAATGTATATTTTGTTCTTCACCAACAATCAGTGGATTCTTTTTGAAAAGCAAAGTTTGGTACACACATTGTGGACTCTCTGAAAGAACATATGTCCGTTGACCGACCAGACTTTGCTGCTGCTATGAAAACTTCCACTTTCTTCTCAGCAACATCAAGGATATGTGAGGAAAAAGGAAATAAAAGCTGTCAAGTCAAAAGAGATGCCCGGTGGAATTTATTAGTGCTATCAGGACATTGATAGTTTGAATGTTTTTCTTACTTATGCGAAATTGCACATGGTCCTTTAATTTATCATGAAAACTGTCATGCTAATGGAAGATTATCTTATTTGTAAATAACGGTTCATAATTTTGTTACTGACAGTGTTTTTACCTAGAATTTGAGAACCAGAGCTTCATAGTGTACATAGACGTGTATATAATACCAGTCACCCAAGGGAAAAATAAGATGTTACGAGAGGCCACAGAGATTGGCCTTGTCTCCAACACCACAAGATAGATACTACTTCCTGCCTTTACTGTAACCAGTGCCTAGGCTGTTCAGTGCAGAAAAAGTTCATTATTTTAAGATAACATGATGGCATTTCCTTCACGTTGTAAGCAATCCAGTGAAACCAATCATTTCTTACACCAGGGAGGGGCTGTCAAACCATGGGCCAGGGGCCCACCGCCTGTTTTTGTATAGCTCGTGAGCTAAGTGTTGTTTTTATTTTTCTGAGTGATTGTGTGTGGTGGGGGAGAAGTCGAAGAGTTACACTTTGTGAAACATGCAAATTGTATGGAATTCAGATTTTAGCATCTATAAAGTTTTATTAGAACATGGCCAGACTTTCATTTATGTGTTGCCTGAGGCTGCTTTATCTTGCAAAGGCAAGATGAGTTGCAGTGGCAGATGTTACAGCCAGCAAAACCTAAGATATTTACTGTCTGGTCCTTTACAGGAAGTGTGTTGACCCTGATTTACATCAAGGAGTTGAAAGCTACTTTCCATAGCTGGCCATTATCCTAAAGACCAACCTGCAGTTGTGGCATCCCTGAGGCTACCACTAGAGGGCAGACTTGCCCCACCCCACCCCAGTAGCGCTGTTTTTGGCGACTCCAGGTGATTTCTCATTTTGGAGTGTTCAAACCCAGTTCCATTCCCTGTCTTTCCTAGAGAAGAGAGAGGTTTCAAGAAACAAAACTGTACCAACTCAATACATTTCTGAGATGCCAACATTAAGTGAAAGCGATTTTGACCCAATTGGAGTCAAAGCTCTGGCTGGGAATTTACATCCCACTCATTATTACAGTACAGTCTTATTTCAAAGAGAAACATTTCAAATAATTGCAGAATTGCCAGTCTGCAAGAAATTTTGTCATGAGCTTAACTTGTGATAAAACGGTTACACTGTTCCTATAAAAGTTTATTTACATAATTCCACTTGTTTCAGATTTCACAGTATTTTATGCAGTCATTTTAAAATACAGTATCATTTCCCTCTTTATAATTTAAGATTACCAATGAACATTTTAGAGAATCATTAAAACTGATTGTTTATAAAAATAGCTATGGGGCGGCGCTTGTGGCTCAGTGAGTAGGGCACCGGCCCCATATACTGAGGGTGACGGGTTTAAACCCAGCCCCAGCCTAACTGCAACCAAACCAAAAAACAGCCGGGCGTTGTGGTGGGCACCTGTAGTCCCAGTTACTTGGGAGGCTGAGGCAAGAGAATCGCTTAAGCCCAGGAGTTGGAGGTTGCTGTAAGCTGTGTGATGCCATGGCACTCTACCAAGAGCAACAAAGTGAGACTCTGCCTCTACAAATAAATAAATAAAAGTAGCTATGAGAAAATTCAAAGGTATCATCTTATTGATTAAAAAAAAAAACTACTTTGTCCTGCACTTTTGTTATGAAAATGCTCTATCCTATAAGGTAACTTTGTTTTTTCTGTTTTTGTCTTTTTTTTTCTTTTTGACCATGAATGAAGAGGTGGCATAATTTGAGTCAGCCAGAATTTAACCTGAAAAAAGTTCTGGCAATGTAATAATTCCCTCTAAATTACAGAAAGTGACTTTTCTAAACACACTGTAAATAGTATTGATTATGCTCCACTTTCTGACCTGAAGGACACAGCCACACAGCTGGCACACAGCCACTTCTGAGAATCCAAGTTCTTCAGATTTTTCTCAACACATTTTATCTGATCACCATCATGCTTTTTGTAGAAGATTTCTAAGGAAGTTAACCATGTAAGTGGGGGGAGATGCATTCTAATTAGTCAAAATACCGTATCTGGGTTTTTCTATAAATACCAGGCCTTTCTCCCAAGTCTGAGTCTATGCCTACCTACTCAGAAGGTCAACTTGCCATGAAGTAAATAAAACATGATGTGTTGCTTCTGAAGGTAAAACTGATGTTTCTCCAGTGCGGTTACCTCTGCCCATTTAACTAGAACGTCTAGCGTGGCACCTTCCGAGTTCGACAGAAAATGTTAAGTGTTGTAGACGACACACACGTTCTTGCCTACAAGCATTGTACCAGCCTTTAAAAAAGTGAATTTATACAAGCATGGACATTAGTTTCAATAAACTTTTGTTCGGATATTCATATATTTTTAACATTTTCTGCATTTAGTGCTTTTTAAGCGTCAGCACATCTGTGGCAGGCAGTGATGACGTCTTACACACTGGAAAAGAACAGTATCAGAGGATTCTGGGAATATACGTAAATATAACTCATTTTATTAGTTTCAAGGCATCACGAGGTGTCGTTTTAAAAATTGTTATGACGCGACCAATTTCTACAACATTACTTTGAAGTGTTTTTTTTACTTTTGGGTGGTTTCCTTATCTTACTAGGGTTTGGAATCAGTTTCTTTATTTTAAGGGGCTGTAGTGCTACCGCTGAAGTCTGACTGTCAACCAACTTTCTTTTAGGTTTTGAGAGGTCTTCAAAAGAAGTGTCTAAAATTTCTTGGTCTTGGCTTTCCAAAGATTCATTCTCTAAGTTTTCCGTGGAATCTCCAATTCTGTCTGGAAGCCATGGTACACTGAGACTGGGTACTCTGGGAATGATGGCCTTGACCTGATCAACAAAGTCTGTGGTGTCCTTCTTGAATCCTAGAGCTAGGACACATTTTAAGCCGATGACAGGGGCAATTCTTTCACTGAGCCTGGGAACCTGACAAGCAGGAACAGCTCTGCTTAAACTTAACTGGATCAAGTGGGAGGTGATAATGGCAGGCTTAACTGACTTGCACACCAGAACTAAGAGCAGCTCACCTCTTTCCAGGGCTCTGGTAACTTCATTAACACCAATTGTAAGCTGCTTCCTGGCGTGCACGGGTGTCCACCCTGACACCTGCTGCTTAGCCTCTGGTTTTTTCTCCTTCAGCTCCTCACTGACATCACTGTCTATGCAGCGTTTTCCTTTCCCTTTTTTCAAAACAGCTGTTTTTTTCTTTCTCTTCTTGTCCTCAATCTTCTGAAGTCCAATAGACTTAAACCTGTCTTCCAGCGTCTGTAATATGAAGTGCATATCCTCTCTGTCCAGAGCACTCCAGCAGATAGTATATGGATTGTTCAAGGAAGTCTTTACAACTAAAGGTCTCGTCTTACGAACAGATCCCCTCCCTGGCGCCTGAGGGGCTGTGGCCATTCTGAAAATCCTTCAGAGGAGCAAAGGGACAACAACAAATTCATATTCACTAGAAATGCACATCTTAAGAATAAATTGGTTTTACTCTTGAGTCTTTGCTAAGCAAGAGCAAGCTAATTATGCAGGCCCAATGGGTGATAATACATCTAACTGCTCCCTTAAGTAATTTTAATTATTTTTTCCATTTTTATCCCATTTGAATGCTTTTTTAGGCCTTTTAAAAAAGTCAGGACTATGCGTGACCAGTGTTTGCTGTCTCTCATTTTTCCATGATTTCATCTTTACTTATATACAGGCAAACCATGAATGTCCTGTATTATTATAATCATAGTGAAATTCCATTTATTTACTCATTTATTAAAAAATGTCCCATTTCTACTTGTTCATAATGATCCCTTTAGTGGCTGTATGGTATTAAACCTTCTACACTTATTGCCATTTTCCAAATTGCTTTCTAGTTGGGCTTCTGCTCATTCATTTAAGAATCATTCTCTGAACACCTCCCATGTGCATGCTGCGTTCTGGGCACCGGGGCTCTGGATAAATAAGATTCCATGTCCACCCACACAGAGCTTACCATTTGGAAGGACCCCAGAGCCCTCTGGCCCTCTGCCATTCATTATCCAAGTGTGGCTTTTTAAAAGAACTTACAAAAGTACTCTATATACATGATAAAAACCTCAAGCAATATTTTTGTTATATCCCTTTCTATAAGCCTCCCTCTCTGGACCCTAAATTTTTTGCCTTTTAAAACTTCTAACACACATGCAGGCATATATTCCCTCTCCTTATAGTTATTCCAAGATGACTGCTCTGGTTGGTGAAAACTAGGGAAATGTTATAATGAAATTTAAAGATACCAATCATTAAGGAAAAATAAGAGGAGTCCTTAGAAAACAGCGGGTAGAGGGCAGATGCTGTTTATCCTTCCCAGAGGCAACTGCATATTCTCTTCCCTCAATTTCCTCCTTCATCTTCCTGGTCTCAGGCAGAACCACAGGGACCCACTCACAAAACCAAAGAAAGTCAAGTCCTTTCCAGCTAAACTTCCACTCACTAGGCTGGCAAGTGATACTGACAGGCAAATGTGCCTGCACTTTGTGTTATGTACAAAGCTCTCCACGTATTATTTGATTCTCACAACATTCCGGCAGAATTACCAAGGGGAGGAGTGAGGAACCAGACTCACTGTCCAAAATCAGTATTCCAAATCTAAATTTTATGCTCTTTCAATCCAGCCTGTACCTCAATCATGTGAGGATTTTTGAAGCACGTACACATGGTTGGTCCTCACCCCCAGATCTACTATATTGGAATCTCTAGGAATCCCAGAGGGACATTTGTGCTGGTAAAGTGAGACAAGCAGGGTTTCCACACTGGACAGCTCTGGGAAATCAACCCCTAACCTGCAATATTAGATTGGCACTTTCCTACAGAAAACCAAATTTGTTCTCCTTGGGTTGAGAGCAAACCTTGGTTATGTCAGCATTGCCCACAAAGCTTCACACTGGGTGCCCTTCTCTTCCCCCATTATTTCTGTGCTTCCCTTGAGCTTGGGAAATCAGGAAGAAAAGCAGATCATCCAAATCACTGGTGACTGCCAGTGGCTGGCGTTGGGTAGAAAGTGGTCAAGAAGAGAGAAATAAATGACAGAGGGGCAAGACAAATAGGACCTAACAGTTCTCGCCAAACTGCAAGTCCCAGGTCGTTGAGTCTGAGCATCCAAACAGCCCGAGGCAAATACTTACAGTGGTGTGCTCCGGAGGGACAGCAGGTAAGCACTGACTTCTGTCTGCACAATCTGGTGGGGAAGAGTAAAAAGCAAAGTAGCTCAGGTGGCAGAATCTCATCTGACACAGTCCAAAAACCAAGTGCCCACAGATAAGTAATAGTTTCAGGAAAACAGAGAAAAACAGGAAGGCCTTTGAAGGCCCTTTAGAGCTGTCCGGGAAGCCTCTGCTGCCTATAGATCAAGTGCAAACTCTAATATGATACACGAGGCCCTCCACACTCGGGCTCCAGTCTCCCACCAGCCTCTTCCTTGGGCCCCACTATGCCCTTGACACTCAACACAGACTGTTAGATGAAGCTGCCAGTTTCTCACTGCCACGTCTTTATACACATCACTCCCTCTGCCTGGAACACCACTCCTATCCTCTGTCCCACAACCACCCTTCTAACTTCAACACATATTTATGGATTGTCACCACGTGTCAGGCCGTGCAGATTAAGTATTTAAATGAGATACAGTCACTAGCCTCAGGGAGCTCACAGTCTATGAGGAAGACATCTTTAGCAGGTTATCAGCTTGTGGGGACCTCAGAGGAGTTTCTGCCTAGGTCCAGTTGCTCTAAGTACAAAGATACACATTGAGACAATGAGAATTAACAACAAAAAAGGAATTAATACCACAGACATTTTTGTCAGGAGAAGCTACTTTAAAACTGTCTCTCATCCATATATATCTGACTAAGGGAGCTCATGTGCTTTAAAGGAGGGGCCACGTGTCTTGGGACTGGTCATGGTTTAACTAACAAGGAGCTAGGCCTTGGAGCAAGTCCTGTGAATTGGGGCCAGGTTGTAGGAGGATGAGGCATCCTCAGGACTTCTGCTGGTACCCTTCAGAATCTCAGCTCCTTTGTCTTGTCTTGCAGAACATCCACCATTTCTGGGAAACAACTAACAAGGAAATGAGGACTTCTCTTTCTTTCACCCCTTCTCAATGCACCCACATATGCACTCATTGCCTGTACTTCATCCCCCCCAATATAGGCACACTGTAAATTTGTGTAGACCAAATGCTAACATTATTTTGACGATGAAAGGTCGTTAGTTAGGGGAGAAGATTATATAGGGGTCATTGAAATTTGTTCAGTGAGTAGCTGGTTATAACTATACAATAAAATCTAGTGCACATTAAGGAACTAAAGGATGCTCAGGGAACATAAAGCAAAGCACTAACTTAGTTGAGGAGGTCAGGAAAGGAAGGCACCCTGGATGAAATGTCTTTGTAAAGAAGAAGGAAGTAGACAAGAGTATCGCAGGGAGCTGTGTTAACAAAAATAAAGTCAAGGTCGTTGGGGCAGAGATGCTAGAGAAACGTCAGTGAAAAGTAGGTGAGGACCAGATGGTGAAGGCCTCTGCCAACTTTGCAGCTAGCAATTATTGTAACGTTTAAAGCAAAGCAGTGGCATTAGAAAGACGTACCAGAAAGATCTTTGTGGATTCTGGGTATAGAAAGGGTCATTTTGCAAGACTAGAAGCAGCGAAGAGGCTCCTGGGGTAGTCCAGGGAAGAAAAGGGGGTGCGCTGAACTAGAGGCGCGGGAGACTGGGTGCAGAGAAATGTTACATGTTAGTTGAAACAGGAGGTAAAATCTCCCCGACTTAGTGATCAGTTGGGAGTAACGTAGAGGAAAGTCTAAGGAATGACTCCCAGTTTCTGGATCTCGTCGGTAGCCGAGGGAACGACGTGCAGGTTCTGAGAGGTTCCATCCCTGACACAGAGTCAATCCCCCTCGCTAGTATATGCCGCCCGTTTCTAGTACCTTCGTCCTTGACTATTTAGCACACAGAATTGTGTGGTCTCGTCTCTTCGGAGATCGTGGAGCACAGAGGAGTCAGAGGGGGGCTTTATCTTTGTCCTCTCAGTGCCCCAAACATGCTGCAGTCCAGGCAGAAAGGAGCTGGAGCCAAGGCAGGAAAGCGCGCTTGTCGCAGCGTGGGCGACGAACCCGGGAAGAGGAATCGGGAAGCCGTGGGCTTCGACCTCCAGACTCTGCCAGAGTCGCAGCTCGAATCTCACCGTAGGCAGCGCGTGGCGCGTACAGAACTCCCACTGGAGTCTCACGGCTGCCGTCATCAGCCGGCGACAGCGGAGGCGCCAGGTGCGCCGGCGCCGCGCATGCGCAGAGCCCTAGCTTCCCCGGCCCCACCTTCCAAATGCAGTGGAGCGGGGCGGAACCGCTCGTAGCCCCTCCCGTTTGATTATCCTGCAGTAGGTCCCTCTCAAGTGGGGAGAAGTCGGGCCACAGAGTCACGCGGCAGAACGAGGCCCCATTACCAAAAACCCAGAATTGAAAACCCGAAATGGAGATTCGTGTAGGGGGTCCTAAAGCGGCAGTGCGCAGGCGCAGCGTGTGTCTCGCGACATCCTACGGTTGCCCCGGTAACCTGCCTCTTGTTCTTGACTGCCTGTGTTTGCGGGTGAATCTTCAGCCAGTGTCTCCTGTAGGAAGATGCCTCTGGGGCGCCTCCGACACTCTCACCGGTATAATCCTGACTTTTGGCGAGCCTTGGAGTCTTAGTGCTCTGTCTCTAATCCCTTTTCTGTCTCTGGCTTGCCTTACGCAAGCAAAACTCTAGTCCAGGTCCCAGCACGCCGTCTCCATGGAATCCCTGCACACTCCCCCTGCACTGGGAAAATCGAGATAAATCAGGGGCGGGGCGCTGGGTAAAACACTTAACTAGTTGGTAGTAAAGGAGGGAATCTTGAGGCCCTGGAAGGAGGAATATGAGTTGCTTTGAGTTCTGCAATAACAGACTAGAATACGCCAGCAGGTTTCTGCTGTGGCTTCTCCGAGCAGTGGAGATTAGTGGCTTGAACTGAGTCGCTGGAAAGTCGTGGACAATTGGTGAAACCGTTGAATAACCCTGTATAGGCCAGGAATCTGAATCTGCTGAACGGCCCTTAGAATATAGGAGGTTGCTTCCGACTTAATGACCTCGTCCTTGCCTCCATTTTTCTTCTTTTCCAGTCTCAGGCCCCCTTTCTTTTCCTCTTCTACAGATCTTCCTCCTTTTCTCGATGTCTTTGCTACTTCGCTGTTTTGTTTCCATTTTTGTGGTTTCTATATTTTTCAATTTCCATATGTAACTACCTACATAGTACTTAACTGGCCATACAGTAAACAAAACAAAAAACTGCCGTAGGTCAGTGGGCAGGGCGCTGGCCACATACACCTAGGGTGGCAGCTGCGAACCCGGCCTGGGCCAGCTAAAAAACAATGGCAACGCCAACAAAAAAATAGCTGAATGTTGTGGTGGGCGCCTCTAGTCCCAGCTACTTGGGAGGCTGTGGCAAGCGAATCGCTTAATCCCAAGAGTTTGAGATTGCTGTGAGCTGTGATGCCACAGCCTCTACCCAGGACTCTGTCTAAAAAAACCCCAAACCCTGCCTTTTGATCAAAGATTATTGCAGTTGACACAGAGTAAAAACAATGTTATCAGAAGAACGAGGTTAGAAGGAGTTTGAGTCTTCACAGCAAACTTTCATTTCATAAAATGAATCACACCAGTTCACTGTGATGAACTATAAAAATTATGCAGTTTTAAAGACAAATAGAAGCACACAGGTCTAGTTCAAATGTAAGAGTAATGGAAAGGAAATGTAAGTTTTTGTCCTCCTAAGGTTCCAGATTTATAGTTTTAACCTCGTCTCAGCTTAACATTTACTCTGTGGAAATTATTCGCTGTTGTATTACATGACTGTAGAGCCGTGCAGCCTAGTTGGAATCCTGACTTCATCACTGACTAGCGTATGGCTCTAGGCAAGTTCATTAACCGCTTATGAAGTGATAAAAATAGTACCTGTTGTGAGGATTAGAAGAGATGATCCTACATAAATAAGAACCTTAGCACAGTGCCTGGCACATAGTAAGTGCTGGATAAATTGAACTGTGATGAATCCGGTGACACTTTGGCAGAATTAAGTTAATAAAAATCAAATATGGCCTTTATAATTTTAGTGATTGTTTTATGTTAAAACTAGCAAAATTATTTTCCACAAGATCTCTTGTTAAAATGAATGACTAAGTTTCAAAGTTTATTTCTCTCCCATCTATATTGCACAAACACTACAATAACAAAGTTTTCAAAATTCTCCTGTGACCCAGTCACCTCCAAACATGTTTTTTGGACTGTGTTCCCTTCTAATTTGTTTCCCCTATATGCATACTTTTGCATTAAAATAAGATATTAAATCTTGTGTTCTGATTTGCATTCCACATAGTATTTTTTGTGGGTGTTTCTCAAACAAAGGTTTCAAATTATTACTGTAAGTCTGTATACTTAGTACCCAATACTGAATAATCAGTTTTTCTTTTTTCTGACACTTATTTTATCTTGTAAAACCTCAGTTTTCAGCCTGGATAACATAGCAAGATCCTGTTTCTACAAGCTCTTCAAGAAGCTGAAGTAGCAGGATCACTTGAGCCCAAGAGTTTGAGGCTGCAGTGAGCTATGATTGAGCCACTGCACTCCAACCAGGGTGACAGAGTGAGACTCTGTCTCTAAAATTCAAAAACAAAAGCAAAACAAAATAAAAACCCACCTCAGTTTGGTCTTTAAGCTTTCTCCTTATATTAATTCCAGAATCTGAGTATTGTTAGATTTACATGTTCACCATGTTGGAACAGTGATTTAAGATTCTGGATGATAAGATGCCACTGGCCACAGTCCTTTGATGAAATAAATGAAAGTTCCAAGGAGAAAGTTTGTCAATAGAAAAACATAAGAGAACTGACCACTGGATTCTTCTTTCTTTTTTTTTTTTTTTTTTGAGACAGAGCCTCAAGCTGTCCCCCTGGGTAGAGTGCCGTGGCATTACAGCTCACAGCAACCTCCAACTCCTGGGCTCAAGCGAGTCTCCTGCCTCCGCCTCCCAAGTAGCTGGGACTACAGGCGCCCGCCACAACACCCGGCTATTTTTTGGTTGCAGCCGTCATTGTTGTTAGGCGGGTCCGGGCTGGGGATTCGAACCCGCCACCTTAGGTGTACGTGGCTGGCGCCTTAGCTGGTTGAGCTATAGGCGCCGAGCCTACTTTGAAGTCTTAAAAGAACATTCTAGAGTTAAAGAATAAAACAGCGTAGTGTACCATTTCCTCTCCTCCTCCCCCGGTTTTTTGCAAGGGTGATCCTGCCAAAATGTCTCAGGGGGAGATGGAGACAGGACCTCGGGGCCGTATTTCTCTGTAGAAACACCCACAGACAGGTGGGCCAACCCAGGAAGCACCTCCTGCTGGGAAAGCGCCTTTTACCTTCGGTCCCTACCAGGCATTTCTCATGGGCCAGGACTTCAAAAAGGAAGACTGAAAACTGCGCAGTACGTTTATCTAACATTTATTTGCTTTTTGTCCTTTACTTGGGAATTCATTGCCTTCACCACAAAAATATTTTCAAGAGGGAAAAGATGTACGTAAAAAAGTAGCAAATACTTTTAAGATGTAGTTTTATGCTACAGGCTAAAAGATTTCTGGGCTGTCCTTCTCCACTGAGTTCCTCAGCTACTCATGAGGCTGAGGCAGGAGGATTATTTGAACCCAGGAGTTTGAGGTTGCTGTGAGCTAGTCTGACACCATGGCACTTTGGCCTGGGCAACAGAGTGAGATTCTGTACAAAAAAAACAAAAAGACAGAAGGAGGGAGGGAGGAAGGAGGAAGGGAGAAATAGAACATTATTTATTTCTATGGGATGGATGCTGCCATCCAAACTAAGAGACAGTCTGAAATCAACTCCTGTGGCCAGAGATTCTGCTCCGGGTCCCTGGAAATCTAACAAGATGCGGCTGTTCAACCCATTCTGTGTATCTGGTCTACAGACTCAGAGATATTTGGGTCTGTTCCCCTGGAGAGCTGGGTCAGATTGAATAGGCGAGCGGGCCTGTTCCTTCGCCATAAATAAAAACGAGTTAGGGTGGTTGCAGCGCGTGTTCAGAATTTACGTGTTTTTGCTTTACAAAGAGGAGAAAAGGTGTAAAGCCTTTACCCACTGATGATGAGCAGCCCCGTCACCCCCAAGTTTCCAGGAATTGCACAAGAGAGGGGTTAGTGGCAAGGAGTCCCAAGGGAGGTCAGTGCCCTGAGGCCACCCTTCCGGCTTTTCCGGTAAACGACCTCCAGAGAAAGAACAGAAAAGCAGGCCAAGAGCTGAGAGCGGTTCATTGAAACTCCCTTCGCTTTGCCTTCCACTGGCTGCGACAGCAACAGTTGGGGACTTGCTGGCTCGGGGCAGCTCACTGCCCAGACCCATCCCCGCCTCCACGACCAATGGGAACCAGGCGGGCCCAGAGCGCGGCCAATGGGAGCCGGCTGGGCCTGGAGCACGGCCAATGGCAGCGGCCGGCGGGCAGGAGCGCGCTTTAAGAGGAGGTGGGGCGCAGGCCCGGGCGCTAGTGCGCGTCGAGCAGTCTAGCTGAGCGGTCGACATGTCCTTGCAGGTAACACCGTCTGAGGAGGCCGCGCGGGAACGGGGGGATGGTCCGGGGGGGATGCTCTGAGAGGAAAGCGCTCACTCGAGTGGGGCGTGGGGCAGGGAACGCCCCCCGGGAGCGCTCGGCGGCGACTCCGCGGACACTTTCACTCCTTTCAGAGCGCCCGGGGTCGCAGTGTAGACCAAAGCCGTGCAGGCTATTGACACCGAGCCGGGGCTCCCCATGACAAGCCTTGAGGCCCCCAGGGACTGGTTAAACCATCGGGAACGGAAAGACGGGCACCGCGCCTGGGAGCGCACAGCGGGCCCTGCTCCGCCCCCTCTTTCCATCTCCTAGAGGGAGGCGAGGGCGTCTGGGGTTTCACCCTGCACCCCCTTGCTCGGTGCGACCTCCGGAGATCTGGGAGGCAGGTGTCTTTCTGAACAGACCTTTGAAGGTTCGGTTTTAAAATACTGTTTTACTGGTACGTGAAAAAAAAAAATATATAGGGAGTGCCAAAAAATGTAGATACATTTTAAGAAAGGAAAAAATTGTTATTGTAATTCTCAAGTCAAGTTTGACTTCTACAATTATAAGAGGTGCTCAACGTGACTTGTATTCATCTTTTGTTATCCATATATACTATAATTTTATAGTATTTTCCTTTCTTAAAATGTGTCTACACTTTTTGGCACCATCTGTATACATCTGTATGTATGTTAAGGGTGAAAACTTTGAAAAAGAGAACAAATCTGAGGTAAAAATCATTAGGAACTACTCCACCCAGGTGATAACCACTGCTAACATGGTGGGTTACTTCCTGGTAAGCACTTTTGCACGTGTGTATGTGTGAATGAGGATGTGTTCTTATATCTACACACATCTATTATTTATTTATTTTTTGAGACAGAGTTTCAGGCTGTGCCCTGGGTAGAGTGCTGTGGTGTTGCAGCTCACAGCAACCTCAACTCTTGGGCTTAAGTGGTTCTCTTGCCTCAGCCTCCCAAGTAGCTGGGACCACAGGTGCCTGCCACAACGCCCGACTATTGTTTTTCGTTGTTGTCATTGTTTTTCTAGCTGGCCCCAGTAAGGTTCGAACCCGCAGCCTTGGTGTATGTGGTCGGCTCACTTACCCACCTCCTATTGTGTTATTTTTTTATGTACAGTTTTGTTTCTGCACTTTTATGAGTATTTTCTCATCACTAAATATTCTTCTGAACTATGAATTGTTTTTGTTTGTTTTTTTGAGACAGAGTCTCACTTTGTCCCCCTTGGTAGAGTGCTATGGCGTCACAGCTCGCAGCAACCTCAAACTCTTGGGCTTAAGTGATTCTCTAGCCTCAGCTTCCTGAGTAGCTGAGACTACAAGCCCCTGCAACAATGGCCAGCTATTTTTTAGAGACTGGGTCTCACTTTTGCTCAGGCTGGTCTCCAAACTTGTAATCTTAGGCAATCCACCCACCTTGGCTTCCCAAGTGCTGGAATTACAGGCATGAGCCACTGTACCTGGCCCTATGAATTTTTTTTTTTTTTTGAGACGGAGCCTCAAGCTATCCCCCTGGGTAGAGTGCCGCGGCATCACAGCTCATAGCAACCTCCAACTCCTGGGCTCAAGCGAGTCTCCTGCCTCAGCCTCCCAAGTAGCTGGGACCACAGGCGCCTGCCACAACGCCTGGCCATTTTTTAGTTGCAGCCATCATTGTTGTTTGGCGGGCCCGGGCTGGGGATTCGAACCCGCCACCTTGGGTGTATGTGGCTGGCGCCTTAGCCGCTTGAGCCACAGGTGCCGAGCCTGAATTTTTTAATATATAAAACTTCATAGAATAAAGATGGCTAACTTTAACCATTTCTTCAGGCAAGATGTTATCCTGGGTAAAGACACATACTCCAGGGTAACCTGGGTTCAAATGCACCCCTCACCTCTCCTCAGCCTGTAACATGGTTATTTAAGCTCCCGGTGCCTCAGTTTCCTCATCTAAAAATAGAGGAGAGATACTTTCAAACAAGCTACAAGAGAGCATTTAAAACAGCGCCTGGCATGTGTTAAGTGTCCAATAAGGGTAAACTTGTTGAACATTCAGATATTCCTATGTGTGACTTACATAATTTGTATTGAACACTCCCTAAAACGAGCAAAATTTTCTTCAAATCAAGAGATCCAAAAGATTCCCTTTCAGCCTACTACTATGTTTTTCGTTGTCTGCTTTAAACATGTTTTTTTTTAGAGACAGTCTCACTATGTGACCCTTGGTAGAGTGCTATGGAGTCACAGCTTACAGCCACCTCCAACTCCTGGGCTTAGGCGATTCTCCTGCCTCAGCCTTCGGAGTAGCTGGGACTACAGGCGCCCGCCACAATGCCTGGCTATTTTTTCTTGCAGTTTGGCCGGGGCCAGGTTTGAACCCACCACCCTCGGTATATGGGGCCGGTGCCCCACTCACTGAGCCACAGGTGCCGCCCTTAAACATGTTTTTGATGAGGATTTAAAAGTCAAAGAAATCCTAGGAAAGCGGCATGCTAAGAAATATTAATTTTGACTGTGATGATGATATCTACCAACAATTCATTTGAGCATTAAAAATATTGGGGGAAAATAACTTTTACTTATTTATTTTTTTGAGACAGAGTTTCACTATGTCGCCCTCGGTAGAGTGCAGTGGCATCACAACTTCAGCAACCTCCAACTCTTGAGCTTAAGTGATTCTCTTGCCTCAGTCTCCCAAGTAGCTGGGACTACTGGCGCCTGCCACAATGCCTAGCTGTTTTTTGTTGCAATTGATTAGCTGACCCTGCTGAGCTCCAACCCACTACCCTCCTTGTATGCGGCTGGCGCCGGAACCACTGTGCTACAGCACTGTGCAGAGCCGACAATAACTTTTAAAAAAGACACCTAGCAGCTGGCTGACATATTTAAACCTCGTCCTTCTTTATAATTTAACGGCCTTGTACCGGTGTCACACTGGGACTGGTGTCCTGCCAAGATGCTACCGATGGCCCAGATAGTGGAAGCAAGAGGAAAAATGGCAAACACAGACTCCTAGTCATCTGCTTCTTTCCTCGGGAATAAGTAGAACTGACGGACCTTCACGGAAGCAGCAAAGTAAATGGAATTTCTAATTCATCAATAGCCCCCCAATTTTATTTACTTAATTATTTATTTATTTTGAGACAGAGCCTCACTCTGTCACCCTGGGTAGAGTGCTGTAGTGTCACAACACACAGCAACCTCAAACTCCTGGGCTTGAGCAACCCTCTTGCTTCTGCTTCCTGATAGGCAGGGACTACAGTCCTGCACCACCATGCAAGGCTAGTTTTTTTTTTTTTTTTTTCCTTTTATATTTTTAGTGGAGATAGGTCTCACTCTTGCTCAGGCTGGTCTTGAACTCCTGAGCTCAAGCAGTCCACTTGCCTCAGCCAGAGTGCTAGGATTACAGGTGTGAGACACCATGCCTGGCCCCAGTTTTATTTTAAAACTACGATGTTTCCGCCCTCAGATAGCTTTTAGAAGAGCTGATGTTTATCTTAGTCAACTTTCTTTTTTAGATGATGAAGCTAAACGATTCTCCTAAGAAGCTGCATCTTTTCAAGGCTAGAGGACTCATGATTTTACAATTGGCAAATAACTAACTCCCATTCCCCAAACCCTTTCCCTACCCCACCCCCCGACTTTGGGGTGACCTAAGAACTGTACAATTCCTTGAGTGTGAGAGCTTTTGATCTTCCTAATTCAGTTCCTCAATGGGAAAGAATTGCTCAAAAAGACTTTGTCAACCCGTGTGTGGGATGACCATGTTCTTAGGCCACAGAAATTTAGATTAGGTGAGAGTCACATCAGAAACTGTCTTCAGCTGGGCTGAAAAGTGCAAGGAAATCTGGGCGCAGTGGCTCAGGCCTGCAATCCCAGCACTCTTGGGAGGCTAAGGCAGGAGGTCAGAAGTTCAAGACCGGCCTGAGCAAGAATGAGGCCCTGTCCCTACTAAAATTAGCCAGGCATTATGGTTGGAGCCTGTAGTTTCAGCTGCTTAGGAGGTTGAGGCAGGAGGATTGCCTGAGCCCAGGACCTGGAGGTTGCAGTGAGCTAAGATGGTGCAACTGCACTCTAGCCTGGGCAACAGAACAAGACTCTGTCTCAAAAAAAAGAGTGGAAGAAAATTTACCCAAAGGGCGGAGTCGTTAGCCCAGAAGGCATGATGTATCCAATGTCAGGGACACTGGCATAACAGTTGACACCAAAGGTAAAGTCAGGGGGCCTCATGCTGAAAGCATGAACAGTACAGGGGTCAGGGAGAACCTTAGTAGCCTTAAGCAGTTTGTCTTGCTGCATCTCAATAGGAAGGTCATGTGCTTAATGTTCCTCTAGGTGCTGAGAACCCAGGTCCAAGGGCATCAGCTCAGCAGAAGCTCAAGTTCCTTCCTAGAGCAGCAAGCCCAGCTCCACAGTAGCACAGGAATATTACAAAGCTGATTGCCTTTGCCCAGAATGCTTCAGAATTGAATATCAACTGCAATACCTTTAAAGCTGTCTCTCACCTAAGCTAACTTTCTGATCCTCCTAAGATTCACTCCCTCATTAATCCATCCAGCAAGGGTGTACTTAGAAGGCTCAGAGCAGGCTTGCACCACCTGCCAGCAGTCTGCAAGGCTCTGCTATTATAGCTCCCAAGGTGAATATTTATGCCTGCTTCTATTATGGATATGTAGGGGAGCAAACAAAAGCCTCCCCACCCGGGCAGCCTGTAGTTGGCCCCTAGTCTGTCCACACTGCCTGCTGCCCTGTGCATCCAGCAAACGCTGGGTCAGTGCAAACACCCTCTCCTAGGAAAGCCTTCTTCCATGCCCATCCCCTTGGTGCTGCCTTCTCTGTGTTCCCAGAGCAACTGCTGCTTCTCCCTGGCAGCAAGTCTCCCAGGATCACTGTTGACCTGCTCATCTCGCACTGAGCTCCCTCCAGCTGGCCCCCTGCTCATCTTTGTCCACCAAACACAGGCCTGGCCCATCACAGGTGCTCTACATGCTTGTGAATTAGTATGACATGTGTAATGAGCTCTGGGAGGGTGCAGTCCCCAGAACCATATCAAAGATATTTTACATCTTTAATTGTGTTTAACCCTAACACCTTCTTGCTGAGACTTGATATGATCTTTCTGTGGCTGAAGCTGTGTCTTAGAGGAGCTTTGTTTCTTGCAGAAAGTACCAGGCAGTGCATGTGAAAGCTGGATTCACTGAGTATTGTGAAACAGCCAATGTTCTTTCTGCTACAGCTCATCATGGCGGGTGGGAAAGGCCTCCTGGAGGACGGTCCATCAGAACAGTACCTTAAAGCAGGAATGTATTAGTTTGGCACCTGTAGCTCAGTGGCTAGGGTGCCAGCCCACATACACTGGAGCTTATGGGTTCGAATCCAGCCTGGGCCTGCCAAACAACAATGAGAACTACAACCAAAAAATAGCTGGGTGTTGTAGCAGACGCCTGTAGTCCCAGCTACTTGGGAGGCTGAGGCAAAAGAATCACTTAAGCCCAAGAGTTTGAGGTTCCTGTGAGCTGTGACATCATGGCACTTTACCGAGGGCGACATAGTGAAACTCTGTCTCAAAAAAAAAAAGCAGGAACATATTGAGTTGAGGGCTGGGCACAGTTCTATAGGTGGGTTTCCCCCCCGGAGAGGGAGGAAAGAGAGGGGTCCCTGAAATGGTGTGGAAAACTGTTGAGGTTTTGCTCTTCTGTGCCAAGGGTCTAACACTTTCATTAGATTTTTATTTCTTGAGATGGGGTCTTGCAGTGGTGTCATCATAGCACACTGCAGCCTCAAACTCCTGGGCTGAAGGGATCCTCCCACCTCAGCCTCCAGAAGAGCTGGGACGATAGGGGCACACCACTATGCCTGGCTAATTTTTAAATTTTTGGTAGAGGGTCTCACAAAGTTGTTCAGGCTGATCCCAAACTCCTGGCCTCAATTGATCCTCCCACCCTGTCCTCCCAAAGTGCTGGGATTACAGTACCATGCTGAGCCGGAGCCACCATGCTCAGCCTCATTAGATCTTTGTATGGTTCAGTACCACACAAAATACGAAGAATAATTTTTCAGAAACGCATTCCTGGAAGGCAGAGACCGCATATGGTTTTTAAGAAGACTTAGAATTCTAAACAGGGATTGGCTCACCGAAAAACAAATTTAGTTGCTGTCAGTGGAAAAATGACCTGAGAGTTAATAGCAAACAGCACATCTGAGATGGATGAGGAACCACAGAGGGGCCAGGCATGGTGGTTCACACCTGTAATCCTGGCACTCTGGGAGGTCTGAGGTAGGTGGACTGCTTGAGCTCAGGAGTTGGAGACCACCCTGAGCAAGAGCAAAACCCTATCTCTACTAAAAATAGAAAAACTACCTAGGAGTTGTGGCAGGTACCTATAGTCCTAGCTACTCAGGAGGCTGATACAGGAGGATGGCTTGAGCCCAAGAGTTTGAGGTTGCTGTGAGCTATGACGCCACAGGACACTCAACTCTAGGGTGACAGAGTGAAATTGTCCCCCCCCCCGAAAAAGAAACCTGTTCTGAATAGCCTTGGCCCTGCCTTGCCCTTAGGAAGCCCTAACTACTCATGTAGTATTTGAATTTTGTTCTTATTATAAACACAGTATGTGCACATTATAGAAAATTTAGGGAGTATTGAAAATATTATAAAACCAGAAAACTTATCAATAATCAGAGGCAATTACTATTTACGTATTTTAGTATATTTCTTTCTAGTCTCTACTCTTCTGCCTAAGTTAGAAAGCTGAGTGTGTAAAAACGACTCTCTTCTTTGTCACACTCTGAGGTATTTCTTATGTCTTGCCTCCTTACAAATACTGTTTTCAGTATTTTCTTAGATCTGATTTCTCCCTAAAAGGTTTATAATAAAAGTAATAGCTAACATTTATTGAACACTCACAATATGCCAGGCACGCTTCTACATGCTTTACACGTTACCTTATTTAAAATACTTCTAACAAGTTTGTGCATAGGTGTTATTATTGCCTCATCTGCCAGATGAAGAAACAGACACAGAGAGGTTAAGTAACTGGCCCACAGTCACACAGCCTGTGTGTCTTCTTAACCATTATGTATAAAGCTGCTGACAGTTTCCTAGAAAGACACTTAGCAAATGGGCTGGGCACGGTGGCTCACACCTATAATCCTAGAACTCTGGGATGCTGAGGCAGGTGGATTGCTTAAGCTCTGGAGTTTGAGACCAGCCTGAGCGAGAGTGAGACCCAGTCTCTGAAAAATAGCCAGGCATTGTAGTAGGTGCCTGTAGTCCCAGCTACTCCGCAGGCTAAGGCAAAAAGATCATTTGAGCCCAAGAGTTTGAGGGTGCTGTGAGCTATGATGCCATGGCATTCTACCAAGGGCAACAAAGTGAGACTCTGTCTCAAAAATAAAATAAAAATAGAAAAACTAGCTGGTGTGCTATGCACCTATAGTCCTAGCTATTTAGGAGGCTGAGACAGAAGGATCACTTGAGTCCAAGAGACTGAGGTTGCTGTGAGCTATGATGGTGCCACTTCCCTTTAGCCCAGGCGACAGAGTGAGACCTCATCTCAAATAATAATAATAATAATAATAATAATAATAAAGTTAGCAAATGCACTGTGTGTGTGGCTTTTTTTTCTTTAGGCTGATTTTTTTTTTTTTGTTTTTGTTTTTGTTTTTTTTTTTTATTGAACGGTAACTATGTACATTAATGCACTTCTGGGGTACAGTGTGGGGTTTTCACATGCAATCTGAAATACTTCCATCAACTGGTCAACACAGCCTTCATGTCATTTTCTCAGTTATTGCTTTAAAACATTCACATTCTACTCTTAGAAAGATTCACCTGTACCCCTATAAGGTAAACCTCAGAAGTAATCCCTCCAAACTCCCTCCCTCCACCCATTACCCCCTCCCTTCTCCCTCCCCCCTCCCCTCTTTAGGCTGATTTTGACAGAGCTGCGGAAGATGTCAGGAAGCTGAAATCAAGGCCAAATGATGAAGAACTGAAGGAACTATATGGGCTTTACAAACAGGCTATCCTTGGAGACATTAATATTGGTATCAGATCATCCTTTAAAAAATAAGACATTTCATCTGTACAGTTTTTATATGAGTAAACAGTAAAAAGTAAACTTGAAAAAACCTATTTCTCCTTCCTTTGGCAGAGTGTCCAGCCATGTTAGATTTAAAAGGCAAGGCCAAATGGGAAGCCTGGAACCTCCAAAAAGGTTTGTAATTCGTTAATAAGTTTAAAACAAACTTTCCTGATGTCCCAACACAGTAATCAGAGAGAGAACCTATTTGTATCTTTCTAGGGTTGTCGAAGGAAGATGCGATGAGTGCGTATATTTCTAAAGCAAAAGAACTGATAGAAAAATATGGAATTTAAAACTCAGCATGAGAAATTTTTCTTTTTAAAGCTTTCATAAGGGTATCATGTCCTCCCATTCGTGGGGAAAATGCACTGTTAACTCTATACAGCATAGATATTTTTGCTTTTATCATGAATTGGAATACTTAATTAGGAGTGTGCTGGAGCTACTTAGTTCACTAGATTCTACTTTAAGTACCGTGTTTCCCCGATAAGACACTGTCTTATATTTATTTTTTCTCAAGAAGACACAGTAGGGCTTATTTTCAGGGGATGTCTTCCTCTCTACACCAGTGGATCTGCATAGCTATGCCCATCACTAGGTCTTATTATTGGGGTAGGCCTTATATTTAACAAATGCATAGAAATCCTGCTAGGGCTTATTTTTTGGGTAGGTCTTATTTTCAGGGAAACACGGTAGGTGACTGTAAACACTTTTTAAGGAAGGTATTCCTTTGGTAGTGTATATACAAAGATTAAGCAATTATTTGTTCTTGTGGCTTATCAGATCGTCTGCATACATCTACACAGTCAGGTAGGGTTATTGGCTCAATAAAATCAGGTTATTAAGGTTCAATAACAAGACCCTGCTGCACTCTGTGCATTCAGTTTTATCAGAGTGAAAATGTAGAATCTGGAATATAATATTGACCCACGACTCAGTCTTTCTTGTTGTACACAGGGTGTTTGAAGGAAGATAGTCTCATTTTTACAGCTCCCAAACCTGCTCGAGATCCCATAGGATAAATATCCCCTAAAACAGTGTCCTTCTGTTCCCTGCATAAAAATTTGGGTTGTACAGGGTATGGCCAGGGGAATAGACCAACCTTATAATACTTAAAACAAAAGCAAGAACCCTCTAGATCTGCTAGATGACTTTCCAGGGCATCTCGCTGAATGGGATAAACCAATCCCAAAACTTTCCAAGCTGTTTGATTCTAATTATCTTGCATTCTTGAAAGGGTAAAATGACAGACTTAGAGAACAGAACAGTGATTGCCAGGGAGGAAGAGGTGGTGTGACCACACAAGGCAGCAGGGGATCCCACAGTGATGGAGTGTCCTGTGGTTGAAAAGTTACACTATAATTTCTCACAGTGGTTCCCATGAAGAGGAATTAGCTAAAAAATGACCCAGATTTATCTTTCTGCTTTCTTTTTTTTTTTTTGCGGTTTTTGGCCAGGGCTGGGTTTGAACCTGCCACCTCCAGCATTTGGGACCAGCGCCTTACTCCTTTGAGCCACAGGCACTACCCTGCATTATTTCTTATAACTTTAAGGGAATCAATAGTTATCTTGAAAATGTATTAAAAAAATCAAAGTCTATTTCTTTTTAAATCTGGAAATTTTTGACAATAAAGGTGAGGATCTTTTTTTTTTTTTTTTTTTGAGACAGAGCCTCAAGCTGTCCCCCTGGGTTGAGTGCTGTGGCATTACAGCTCACAGCAACCTCCAACTCCTGGGCTCAAGCGAGTCTCCTGCCTCCGCCTCCCAAGTAGCTGGGACCACAGGTGCCCGCCACAACGCCCGGCTATTTTTTTGGTTGCAGCTGTCATTGTTGTTTTGGCGGGTCCAGGCTGGGGATTCAAACCCGCCACCTTAGGTGTACGTGGCTGGTGCCTTAGCTGGTTGAGCTATAGGCACTGAGCCAAAGGTGAGGATCTTTACTAGCTTTTGGCTAAAGGTAGTCAGAAGTCTTTCACATGAAGCCAAGGCCCAAGTCTCTCAAAGAGAAAATATCATCAGTGATGGGCCTGGTCTCTTGTGATCAAGGGCTTCGAAACTCTTAGAGCTGTTCTTTTTTTTTTTAGAGACAGAGTCTCACTTTGTCACCCTCACAGCAACTTCCAGCTCTTGGGCTTAGGTGATTCTCTTGCCTTAGCCTCCTGAGTAGCTGGGACCCGCCACAATGCCCAGCTATTTTTTGTTGCAGTTTGGCCAGGGCTGGGTTTGAACCCACCACCCTTGGTATATAGGGCTGGCGCCCTACTCACTGAGCCACAGGTGCCGCTCCTCTTAGAGTATTCTTATGTGGACTCCATTCACCCCCACAAGCCTAGCCTTAGCCACCCAGTGAGAATCCCATCTGCAAACTATATTGACCGATTTTTCAAAGCAGTCGTCACAGATCCAAATTATTTCTGTACCAATCCTTCAGTAAAGGGGGTTCTAGGGACAGTATCAAACTAAAAGGTAAAGGACATGACATACTAAACATTCAACATAATTTGCCTGAGACTATTTTATAGCCTGAATTTATAACATGAATTCTAACTCAAAGCCACCCCCCATAATTAGTTTTATATTATTTGAACTTTGTTTAAAAAAAGAATGATAAATTCTGAAAAATTCCTCCTGTATGTATTTTCCTTAGTCTTATTCACTGAGATCTTACGTCCATTATATAAAAATAATAACAAAATACATAAACCCATGTTTTATGATCATAAACGTGCTACATTAAGCATGTGGGCTGTAAGGAAGAGACACCAGTCACATTAAGTATCAGAGATTATTGTGAAAATCTGAAGGAAATAAAGAAATCCAGGGTTCTGATTGTAGAGTCAGGCCTTGAAGAAATAAACACAGTTGGCAATGGATGGAGTTCAGAGCAGAAGCAGCCTCTGGGGCCCGGAAAGCCTTTGCCCCTTGCATAGGCATGGCCACATCCCGTTTGCAGTGTTCCACTGTTACTGTGACTTAGCTGACCTTCCCTATTTTTGCTCTCCTTTTTTCTCTTGGTTCTAGTTTGTTTCTCCCTATGTCAAGGTTAAGGCAGGCAGGGTGAGGCTTTGGCATGACATTTGTGCTTGACTCTGGATGGGTTGTCTGTGGGAGGGCTGGCCCCAGGTCCCAGCAAGTCATTGCCAGGGTGGCAGGGCCACAGAGAGCCAACCAGCAATTGGGAGAGGAGCAAGTCCTTAGAAAAGGGGCCAGGGATGGTATCCCGGCACAAGTGGCAGGCTGTGGGGACTGTGGTTCTGCCGCTGCCTGGCGCCCCTGCCCAGGGTGACAACGATGAGGAGGAGCATGAAACTGAGGATAAGGACAAAGACGAAGAAGGCAGTGATGAGGAAGAAGAGGCAGACGATGAGATCACTGACGAGGAAGTGAATATCGAATTTGAAGCTTATTCCATCTCAGACAGTGATTATGATGGAATTAAGAAATACCTGCATTAGCTTTTCTTAAAGGCTCCTGTGAACTTTGGGGAACTAACAGAAATCTTAATACAGCAGAACCGTGTTGGAAGTGTGATTAAGCAAACAGATGTTTCAGAAGACAGCAGTGATGATATGGATGAAGATGAGATTTTTGGTTGCATAAGCCTTTTAAATTTAATTGAAAGAAAGGGTACCTAGTGTGCTGAACAAATTAAAGAGTTGATTCTAAGCTTCTGTGAGAAGAACTGTGACAGGAGCATGGTTGAAACAGCTGGATGAGCTACTACATGACACCACCAAGCCTGTGGGCTTTCTGCTGAGTGAAAGATTCATTAACGTCCCTCACCCTGCCCGTGCACCAGCAGCCTCAGAAAGAACTAGCAGAGGCCCACAAAACCAACAAGCCATGTGGGAAGTGTTGCTTTTACCTTTTGATTAGTAAGACGTTGGTGGAAGCTAGAAAAAACAGTTCCAAAAAGAAATGGAGCAGCCAAGAGAAAGATGAGCTAATGTTTGCAAATGCAGAGGAAGCATTTTTCTATGAGAAGGCAGTCCTGATGTTCAGCCTCTTGGTACAGGAGGGGAGAGACTCTTGTCTGGAGGCAAATGGTCTCCCAGACCATTCGATGATGCACCAAGGAAGCCCTGGCGAACCGTGATGTTACTTCTATGCGACAAGATGGAGAAATCATGGATGAGCTGAAACAATATCTATCCATCTAGCCCACTTCCCAGGGGCAGTGATGGGCAGAAAACTCAGTGGACTTACTGGAAAACTCATGACTTTATTAAGATCCTCTACAAAAAGTAGGGTTCTGTCCCACAGGTCTGTTCACATTTATAAAATATCTTTTTTTAAATTTTTGGTCAAATTATGAATGGTTGATTTACATTTTTTCCAGTAAGAAAAAAGTGGAGTAGTAATTTAAAGAACTCAATAAAAACTATTTTTTATTTTAAAACAAGAGAAGGGGCCAGGGACTTGCTGGTATAGGCAACAGTAATTATTTAAGGCCATCTTCTTTTAAGGAAGCATTTCATGTTCTTATAAATGGAACGCTGCTACATTTCAAAAGATTAGAAGGAGTTTTGAGTCGCGGTATGTTGGTGAAACAACAATTTAATTACAAGCATTTCCCCTGTTAATCATTTTCACCATTAAAATAATTGAAAGAAAAATGGATGATTTACCAAGCATAAAAAGTTCATTGACAAACCTCCCACAGATGGGAATCATGTAAGATTTGAAGAGCAAGAATAAAAGACTCTGCCAGAAATATTCTTTACCTGTGTGTCTTTCATTCCTAGAAACATAAATCCTCCTTGGAGAAATACATTTATAGACCACAAATCACCCTGATAAGTAAAAGCGGTATCATTTCCACGCTAACTAAGTAGTACATCTGAGCAGCTGAGGAGAGGACCATATCACTTTGACTATTTTAAGATCCAAAGGGAAATAATCTAACAATCAGCAAGTGATGCTATTTCTAGACACTTGGTTATATAGTTTTTGATGAATTTCTCATTATCAGGTTGCATCAGATAAAAGTGATCTCCTGGAAGCACAAGAATGTTGAAACTTCCACTGGTTAGATCTTTCCAGTCTAAAAACAAACAAAATTACATTTAATAACAAATGACTTCCTTACCAGCCATAACCAAAGATTTAGTTCAAGATACAATTTCTCAGACCTGATACCCAGTGGTCGACTGAGTTCCAAGGTCTTTTGTTCTATGTATCCTTTATTTTTAAAATTTTACCTGACTTCTACTTTTATACAAGAATGACATATCTTCTTTTATGCTAAATAAAATGTAAACCAATTTTCTGTTCTTTGCAGTAACTGCTTCTTGACATTAGCCAAAAACTATCAGATGCATAGTTAAATAAAACGGCCAGGAATATAAAAATAACTTCACCTTTCATATCCTTTACTATGTCTTCGGATCCAATAAAACACGTTAAGTCACAAGAAAGAACAGGCTTGGATGGTTTATCAAAGCTATAAACATAAAAAGAAAGAGGTTAGTAATTTTTCACAGTACCAGAATTTTTTCCTGTTAATAACCTTAATGAGGTAATTCCATAGTGCTCTGGGAGGTCAAGGCAAGTGGATAGACTGCTTGAGCTCAGGAGCTGGAGACCAGCCTGAACAAGAGCAAGACACCATCACTACTAAAATGAGAAAAATTAGCGGCACCTGTTGCCCCAGCTTCTGGGAGGCTGAGTCAGGAGGATTGCTTGAGCCCAGGAGTTTGAGGTTGCTGTGAGCTATGATGTCACAGCACTCTACCCAGGGTGACACAGTGAGACTCTGTCTCAAAAAAAAGAAAAGAAAGCAAAAAAAGAAAAAAAAACTCAGTGAAACTTGGGGTACACTCATTTCTTCCCATTTGGCTACTTCTAGCAATGCGAACAGGTCCCCTCCCTCAGTGGCACTTAAACCTATCAGAACCTGCCCGAGACACACCGGGAAGGTCATTTTCCAATATCATAACTTCTAAAATATGGCAAGTGGCAGAAGACAACACTGGGGCTCTCAGTCTGACTCAGGGTGAGGCCAGTTACACCCAGTACTAATGTCATCCCTAGAAATGACAGCCTTTCTGGTTAATTAACTCCCAGCTCTCCATGGAGAAGATGGCATGCTCAGAACAAGAGTGGTGGGCTCAAGCCAGCAGGCCCCTCTGTTGGTTCCACATCTTCTCAGTTCCCTCACAATAGCAATGCATGTTTACTGAGCTAGATGCAAGGTGCTGGGCTGGACACCAGCACCCCCTGGATAAGCAGTCCCTACTCTCCTGTAGCCATGATTAGCTGGGAGGCAGACATTAATGAAACCAGAGAGAGATGGAAAGTGCTGGACTCCAAGGTGATCTGAGAACATGGAACAGGAAGGTCAGGGTGGGACAGAGTCATGGCATCTTCCCAAGAGAAAGAGGGGGCAGCTCTGCAGCCTGTGAACAGGAAGGACCTGGGCTGAGGGGACAGCCAGCAGGGAAAGGGAAGAGAAAGCGCACAAATTAATGAGCATTGCTCACAGGACAAGTGGGAAGGAGCATCGGGACCAATCAAGGTAGAAGAGGTAAGCAAGGCCAAGTCTAGGCCACGTACAGGATTTTGGTCATCCTAAGAGGGATATAGGAAGTCACCAAAAGGATTTAGGGCAAGGAACACCATGATCAAACTCAACTCACATCCCTCAGGGAGAGCATGGGATGGATGGGAGGGAACTGAGTGCATGTGGCAAGGCCAATCCAGTGGTCCAGACAGGGCAGCTTCTGCCCAGGATGGGGAAAATAAGCTGTCCCTCTCCCTGATCCCCACAATGAGAAAAAACTCTTATACCAAAACCAAGCAGGGCTCTGCTACCCGTGGGAAGGGGCAAGATTCTACCCAAGCCAGCCACAGACACAGGGCAAGATTTGTTTGCAGCAGAGAGAAGGGACAGATGCTAAGAAAGTCCCACCCACCTGAAGGCCTACCTAGGATTGACACCTCAGGCTGTCTCGGACATGCAGGAACTCCCTGTGTCATCCCACAGGCTAACACATGTGGAGTAACAAGCAACAGAAGGAGAGATGACAAGGCGAGCTCTGCCCCAAGTCAACAGTAACAAATTCCTCAGTTTCTACTGTTTCGTACATGGTAAACTGGCTTTCAACTAAAAAACCGGGACACCCAAGAAACCTACCCATTGTTAAGAAGCAAAACAAGTAAGAGAATCAGTCACAGGTAAGACCCAGCTGTTAGAACTGAAAGATAGGGACTTTAAAATAATCACCGATTAACTTGTCAAAGGATTTGGCAGAGAAGGTGGACAACAAGCCCCGACAACTTCTTCAGAGGGGTGAAAACTACAAGGAAGAGTCAAGTGGAATTTCTAGAAATCAACAGTAACAGACATGAAGAATTCCTTTGACAGGTTTATCAGCTGATTTGACACAGCTGAAGAAAGAATCAGTGACTTTGAAGACGGTCAGGAGAAATTAGCCACACTGAAACACAAGGAAAAAAGTTAAAAAATGACAAGACAGACACCCAAGCTCTGTGGGACGATATCAATTTTGAAACAGCCTAACATGTAGAATCAAGATCCCAAAAGGAGAAGGGGCGGCAGCACAATAGTCCAGGCAAGAGATGGGACAGCTTTGGTGAGTTGAAGCGGTCACAGCTTCTGGCATTTCCAACATGGATTTCCATTTCGGAAATGGTTGGTGACAGGCAAGGAGAAGACTGAGATGTGCTGTAGGCCTGGTTTCATTTACACTGGGAGAAGCTGGGACATAAGGCAGGGTGAAGGGAGATGAGATTGAGTAAGAGAAGTAAGATGGGACTGAGAAAGGAAAGGCGCAGGCAGAATGACAGAGGAATCCAGAGAGCAGGGTTTGGGGTGAGGTTTCGGATTCGAAGACAGACAGGAAATGAATAGTGGTGAGTAGCTATTGTAATTTGATTCAGTGGGAAATGGTTAACTATATGAGTGGAATATCCCTGTAAGTGATTTATGTTTTATTTTTGGAGTTTGGAGAGTTTATTTGGAGTGAAAAAATTCCGCAGTATGTTTTGTCATGTTTTGTTTTTTTAAAATGTCTTGTGAGGCCTTGCACGGTGACTTGCCCTATAATCTCAGCACTCAGGGAGGCTGAGGCTAAAGGATTGCTTGAGCTCAGGATTTTGGAACCGGCCTGAGCGAGAATGAGACCCTGTCTCTAAAACTAGCCCAGTGTTGTGGTGGGCACCTGTAGTCCCAGGTTCTTGGGAGGCTGAGGCAAAAGGATTGCTTGAGCCCAGGAGTTTAAATTGCTGTGAGCTATGACACCACGGCATTCTACCAAGGGTGACAAAATGGGACTCTGTCTCCAAAAAAATAAGAAATAAAACAAATAAAATAAAATGGCTTGTGGTTTGTTATGTATCAAACCCTTTACTAAGTATGATCTCATTTAATCCTCACCACAGCAACTGGAAAGGTACTATATTATTACCCTTTCTTTGACAGATGAGACTCAGACATTAAAACCTGCTCAGAACCTTGCAGCCAGCAAGACCCAGTGTCAGTCTGGTAAGAAGACTCTAAAGACGGTATGTTTAATCCTTGTACAAAACATAATTATTAAATACCAGCTTTTGCTCATGCATTATATTGCATTGAATATTCATAGTGATTTTGATTACTTTTTTAGAATTTCATTTTTGATAGACAAATAATAACTATATATATTTATTGGGTACTTCTATATAGATACATCATGGAATGATTAAGTCAAGCTAATTAATATATCCATCACCTCAAGGCCCATTTGACTTCTGCCATTGCAAGGGACACCAGATACAGGATGATAAACATCATAATATAGAGAGTGTATTACAACTTTAATACAGTTTCTTCCTTTCTTAAAATTTGTGTACATTTTTTGAACCTCGTGTGATTTTTTTTTAAAGAAAAATATGTGCTTATTATCTTTTGATTTTTTTTGCAGTTTTTGGCTGGGGCTGGGTTTGAACCCGCCACCTCCAGCATATGGGGCCAGCACCCCACCCCTTTGAGCCACAGGCGCCACCCCACACTCATTATCTTTTATAGATACTTTCTGTGCCCAGGTACTATTCTAAGCCAGTACAAATATCACACAGGTGGCCTCAAAGGAAATGAAACCAAACTTTTTCTTTTTAGAAGTTTTTTCAAGGTCAAAGCTTGGAAGATAGGAACTCAACATTTAAAATGTAAGCAGCCTCAGAACTACCAATCTCACTTTTTCTATAAATATACCCCCCCAAACATGATCTTGGTTACTTACATGTAAGTACTTATAATGTGAATGTCTGCCTTCAGTAAGGGGATATATTGTTGCAAAACTTCCTTATTGTCAACAAAATTCTTGGGAGTGCCTCCAAAAGTCATCAGGTATTGGCCAATTTGCTCTTCAGACAGTTCGCCATCTTTGGGAATGGAAGGCGGGGTCTTGGATTTGAAACGGGAAAAAACACAGGCCTGATATTTCATATCACACACTTGTTCATAAACGGAAAACTATATCGAAGGGAAACATCATTAAATCAAGGCTGGGAGATGGACTGCTTTATCCACAGAATTTTGGTAGGGGGGAATTATTTCTTTCTAAAAGCAGGGAGAAGCAAGTTCATTGGGGATGCCATAGGAAGCCGAGGACCCCAGACCAGCGTCTTTCTCCATATGAGGTGGGGGAAAGCCAGGGGACAGGAGGAAGTGCTGCAGAAACTTCTTAATCCCTGTTTAAAAAGCCACGGCAGTTTTAAAAATGTGACATCACTGTCCCCATTTGAAATTTCAAGTATTCCTTTCCTGCCTCTGATCCAGTAACTTTACTGAAAGTTGATTTAGTACCCAGCTGACCCAGAATGAATTGCAGGGAAATGGAGAGACAAGAATATCGCCTTGAGAGAGTTGAGGGACTTTTCAATTGCCATCATCCCCATACTAGACAAACATTTGTCAGACAGGGAAGTAATGGCTTCATTCCCCCCAGGCACCCACCCCCGGTTCCCTCCTCTCCACGGCTCTTCCTTAAAAAGAAGCTCAATTACTTACTTGGGGAGGAGACGTACTTGACACAAAGAAATGCACTGGTTCTAGCTGGTACTTCTCTTTCAAGTGCAGTGCGGTCATAAAGGCAATGTAGGATCCCATGCTAAAAAAGGAAAACACAAACGTGATCCTCCCTCCAGAGTCGTGGGAACAGGTGTCATAAACACAGCAAGGATTATTATATGGGAGTCAAAAGAAAAATGTAAGTTGGCAGATGAATGACCCTATCTGATTTGTACAAGGTGTATTTTCTTTATTTTTTCTTACTAAATATTTTATTTTACAATATTTTATCTACATATAAGCATGTATGTATACAAGTGTCATTCATCACAATGTTAGGACACAGAATTTTCTTGTGTAAACACTTCAGATGACAATATACATTCAGTTTCTTGGCTCAGTGCCTGTAGCTCAGCAGCTAAGGCTCTAGCCACATACACTGGAGCTGGAGGGTTCGAATCTATCCTGGGCCTGCCAAACAACAATGACAACTACAACCAAAAAATAGCCGGGCGTTGTGGCAGGCACCTGTAGTCCCAGCTACTTGGGAGGCTGAGGTAAGAGAATTGCATAAGCCCAGGAGCTGGAGGTTGCTGTGAGCTATGAGGCCACTGAACTCTACCCGGGCTGACAGCTTGAGACTCTGTCTCAAAAACACATGCACACACACACACACAAAAACAATATACACTCAGTTCTGAATACAAACCATAGGTGCTATTATAAAAATACAGAAATATTAAAGAATTTGGGTAAGTTAGGAAAGTGGGGAGACTATATTTGAAAAATATTCTGATGTATATACATTTTCCTTTGGAGCTTTGAGCATAGAGGGGAAGGGGTAAGCTCGTGAGCGCTGGCTGTAAAAGGTATATTTTCAATGATTTATGTCAGCATTAAAAAATGCCTCAGAGACAGCCTAGAAAATTCATTATAAGATTTAATACTTGTTTTCCATAACATGGAGATTATTCTAAATTTTCTTTCCTACCTTAAAGATGTGTGTCACTATGCCTTGGATCGGTGGTTCTCAACCTGTGGGTCACGACCCCTTTGTAACAATGAAAATACATCGAGGCATGAGGAAGGTTGAGAACCACTGCCTTAGATGGTATATATCAGCACATCTCAGAGTATAGTCTGGGCACCCCTGGGAATTTCTGACACCCTAACAGGTGGTCCCAAAGGGCAAAGCTATTTTCAGGATTAAATACTAAAATGATATTTGCCTTTTTTAACTCTCATCCTCTCATGAGTTCTCAGTGGAGTTTTCCAGAAACTATAAGATATGGGATGGGATATTGCAAGAATTCAATTCCTTCTATTATGTCTGACATTAAACAGATTTGCAAAAGTATAAAATAAGGCTATTCTTCTTACTACATCTTTTTTGGGAAAATGTAGTCTTTTCCATAAAAATATATTATTTATGGGGCAGTGCCTGTGGCTCAGTGAGTAGGGTGCCAGCCCCATATACTGAGGGTGGTGGATTTGAACCCAGCCCCGGCCAAACTGCAACAAAAAATAGCCGGAGGCTGTGGCAGGCACCTGTAGTCCCAGCTACTCAGGTGGCTGAGGCCAGAGAATCACCTAAGTCCAACAGGTGGAGGTTGCTATGAGCTGTGATGCCACAACACTCTACTGAGGGTGACAAAGTGAGACTTTGTCTCTAAAAGAAAAAAAATAATAAAAATTAAAAAATTAAAAAAATATTATTTATGTCAACATATAATGAGTTTGTTAATGTTTTTAGACAAGTTGACAATTCAATGTCTTTGAAATTGTTTAGTTTTACTTTCTAATGTGGTAAATATTGAAATATTTGGTAAATATAGAATATTGAAGTATTGATACATCACACATAAACAAAAAGTTTCTGAGGCGCGTCTTGAAAGCAAAAAAGGTCACTGGGACCACAGAGTTGGTGAACTGCTATAGATATTACCTAGATATATTTTGTAGGCAAATTGCCAGGGGTCATTCATTTGTGAATTATAAATCGACATATTTTATGAAAGAAAAGGAAATGCAGTCCCATGTTCATTGCTGATGGAGTGTAAAGTGCAGGTAATTTGGAAATATGGTTAAGGGGCATATCATTTAACAAATCCTGGGAATTTATCCTAAGAAACGGATAAGAGACTCATGCTAAATTTTCTATAAGAATGCTCAAGGAGTATTGTTTATAACAGAAAGAGATAGCAATAAATCATATCCACAAAAGGATACTAATAAAATGACTCAGGAAGCAATGGATTCTTGCAGGTTGTAAAGGACGTTCATAGCAGTAAGTGAAAAAAGGTCTAGTAAAGCTATAAAATAGGTCCCCACTGTGTGAAAATACTAAGAAAACACAGCCAGATTTTAAAGCATCATTATCTGGATGGTAGAATGATGGAGACTTTTTATTTTCAAGTTTGGTTAAACCGTATCTATAAATATAGTAGTCAAAATGTGTTGAGTCCTTACCATACACCAATTTATTTATCACCATTCACTTTATCCTCACAAATTGGGGCTATTATTACTCTAGCTTCATAGAGGAGGAAACTAATTCAACCCTCCTAATGCCGCGAACCTTTAATACAGTCCAAAGTGGTGGCGACCCATAGGTTGAGAACCCCTGGCCTAAGGAATTGCCCAAGAAGCAGTCAGAACCCCAGGGTCTCTGACCTGACCTCGCAGTTATCAGTCTAGCTTAAGAAACATACACTATTTATATAGTTATTAATTTTTAAAATAAATGAAATATGAGTTGCTGTTAGAATCTTGATTTGACAAGTGTTGATTTTTTGCCTAAAAGGAAAAAAGGTATTCTTACTATGCAAATGGGTGAATTGTAAAAGTTGTGATTGGTCATAATTACCTCACATGCTATTTAATCAATAGAAAAGGTATGCATCCACAAGGCATGGACAACGTTAACCTCAGACTCATGAGTGGATAAACTCCCTCAGATGTCTTGAAAAACAGATTTCAAATACCTGTGGCCAAAAAGTGCAAATGGTTTATCCTGGATAACTGGCAGAATAGCACAAACAACTTCATCAACCACCTGGTAGATGTCCTTTGCAAAAGGTTCTTCAAATCGACTTTCTCTTCCAGCAAGCCTCACGGAGTGCACTGGGGATTGAAAAACAGAAGTTAGGCCAGGCATGGTGGCTCATGCCTATAATCCCAGCACTCTGGGAGGCTGAGGCAAGATTCCTTGAGCTCAGAAGTTCAAGACCAGCCTGAGTAAGAGCAAGGCCCTCATCTCTACTAAAGATAGAAAAACTAGCTGGGCATGGTGGTGGGCACTTCTAGTCCCAGCTATTTGGGAGACTGAGGCAAGAAGATCACTTGAGCCCAAGAGTTTGAGGTTGCTGTGAACTCTGATGATGCCATGGCACTCTACCAAGGGCAATAGAGTGAGACTGTCTCAAAAACCAAACAAACAAAAAACCCACACAAGTTAATACACACAAACTATGAATGAGATACTGGGATGTTGTTAAAGAGCTAACATTTACACGATGCGAACAGTTTCGAAGAAACATAATAATGCTTAAGTCCAGTGAGGGAAAAGTTTTAGAATTTGCTAAGAAAAGCAATAGCCTAAAAAAACAGCAGGCTTGGCTCGGTGCCTGTGGCTCAAGTGGCTAAGGCGCCAGCCACATACACCTAAGGTGGTGGGTTTGAATCCAGGCCAGGCCCACCAAACAATGTCAGCTGCGACCAAAAAAATAGCCGGGCATTGTGGCAGGCGCCTGCGGTCCCAGCTACTTGGGAGGCTGAGGCAGGAGACTCGCTTGAGCCCAGGAGTTGGAGGTTGCTGTGAGCTGTGATACCATGGTACTCTACCCAGGGGGACAGCTTAAGGCTCTGTCTCAAAAAAAAAAAAAAAAAAACCCAGCAGGCTAGACATCTGAAAAGTATCCTTTAACTAAAGATACCTAGAAAAGCCAGTTGAAACATGTGCATAATTAGATGCATAGTTTAGCTCACCAAGTAAAGGGAAAATCTAGAAATTAAAATAAAAGAAGGAACTGGAAATTCTAGTGTAGAGCCTGTGTGATGAAAGGGTTATCTGATGGCCACACTCTATATGGAAAGCAACCTAGCAGGTTTCAAGGTCAGGAGACAGGCATTGATATGCCTTAACTTTGAGAGTTAGAACTGAGTCCTTTACATAAATCTAGGAAACTCTAAAGTCTAGATCCTCCGGGAAAAGGTAAACTAGAAAAATAGATATTAATATAGCATCCCACTGGCAAAAGAGAAAACAAGCACTTTCTGGCTTTGCCTTGGTTCTGAATGGGGTGGGGATGGGCATAAGACACAAGAAGCCCGTAGGAAAGAAAACATACATAGCCAGTACATACCTGAAATGGTGCCCACTCTCACTTATAATAAGGATAATTCAGTTTAAAGTCAGAATAATTTCATACATAGGATGGGAAAAAATTGGAACAGTATTACCTAAGACATAGAGTGATAAGAATTTGTGTATATGCTTTGGTACTATAAATCACTGTAATTCCTTCAGAGAATAATTTGACGATATTTTATGTGGTTCAGGGGTGTAGTGGACATGATTATGCTTGTGGTGTACATTTTTATGTATCAGCTATTGAACAACTTGTTTACAGGAGTAGGCTTTATGGTGACCATGCCCCATCAGTTGTTGATGAAAAAGCTCCTATGAAAGTACTTCCTGTAATTTCTATGTACTTCCCACTTATACATGCATTTCAGGTCTCTCTTTTTCCAGTGAATGGAGTATTTTGTTTGAGACCTGATATCAGAGTACAGGCTAGCTGTGTTTAGCAAGGAAGGACCTGGAAAGTTAGAGGGAGAGAGAGGGAGAGAGCCGGGAAGATAGCACCTTCAGGGAGAGAGAGGCACCTTGAGAAAGGAAAATGTCTTATGGAGACCTGTTAGCAAAAGAAGGAAGGGGCTGAAGAATAGGGTGACAGAAACATGAAAATAACAGAACATTACAGGAAATATTAGATGACACAACTTCATGGACACGAACAAGGTGTTATGATTTTAAAGACTGCACTTCGCTATGGTAACAGAAGAGGGCGCCCTTGAACCAAAACTGAGTAAACTGAGTCAGCAACCAGCCACCTCACACCCCGTGGAATGACCTGTGTCGCTGCTGGTCTTCGTAAAAGGAAGTAAATGTATTGTGCAGAATACAGAAAGGATAAATCAAACTTTTTCAGCTAATAACAATACTTGTTTAAAAATGCACAAAGCAGAAGAAAAACAGTACCCCAACGTGAAAGAAATTCAATCAAAGGAATGGCAGAAGTGAAAGAACACTATGACTCAGAGATTTAAAATTCTGCCTAGAAATAGAGTCGCGCAAAGAACCGACAGAAGATTGGGAAGACATGGAATAATGAGACAGGAATTCTTTCAAAAATGACTAAACGGGGTTGCACATGACGTCACGAATGCAAAGTGCTGTATTTAAACGGCTACAAAGGACAGGAACGCTAAAGGAAGGAAGCTGGGAAAGATTACAAAAGAAAGTTGTAGTCATTGAAGGGGAAAGAATTTCCAGCATGGGGATCCAGAAAAATGCTAAACATAAACACTGGACAAGGACAAATACCCAAAACTCATATTCACGTAAACTCTGAAATAAGACAGGGACTACAGATGAAAGAACCCCGTGTATGCTTGAGAAAAAATGACCCCCAGTAGCTGAGTTAGTTAGAATTTGAAGATTTGAAGAAAACAGGAAGCCCTTCAGACAAATCACCAAAGTCGTTCATAAAGGAAAGCAAAACAGGATGGTATTAGACAATCAGATACTGAAATATGAAGCAAGATCATAAAGCAAAAATTTTTAAAGAACTCAAGGAAGTGTATACTTAATAATTTATCTCCAGTATCAAAGTTCCCTGGCACGTGGGAATTTAGGAGATACTGTACTCATAAGGCTTCTTAAGGCATCTCCTAAAACAGGAATCCCCAACTTGAAGGCAGCTACCACCTGTTTTTGTAAATTTCCTTTTGGCTGGGGCTGGGTTTAAACCCACCACCTCTGGCATATGGGGCTGGCACCCTACCCTTTTGAGCCACAGGCATCACCCTATTTTGTAAGTTTTATTGGAACACAGCCAATGTTTATTTTGTATATGTCTGCTTTTGTGAGACACCACAAAACAGTTGCAGAAAGGACTATATGGCCCACAAATTTGAAAATATTTACAATTGTGCCCTTTGCAGAAAAAGTTTGCCAATTCCTGTACTGGAGGATGACTTCTCCCAAGCAATAGATGATTGGAGAAAGTTTGGAAAAAGGACTGATGGTGAGATTTGAATACTTTTCAATATGTTTTTTTCCTTTCTTAAAATATGTATACTTGTGGGTGGCACCTGTGGCTCAAAGGAGTAAGGTGCCAGCCCCATTTGCCAGAGGTGGTGGGTTCAAACCTAGCCCTGGACAAAAACTATGGAAAAAAAAAAGTGTATACATTCTTTTGGCACCCTCTGTATATCAAGAAATTAAGGAAACATAAACAAAATTTACGAAGAGGAAGAGTGACATTTTCTTTAGTTTCACAATGCTATAAGAAAAAAATTCAAGTTTATGATTCACTAACAAAGAAGATCCTGGGACAGGGCAACCGATTCAAATGGAAGCACAGAGAGAAAGGAGCCTTAAGAAATTGAACAGCATCTCAGTGACCTCTGAAACAATATCAAATGGTATAACATATATTTAATTAGAATCCAAGAAATGGAGGAAGGAGAACAGCAGAAAGAAATATTTAAAGATATAATGATCAAAAATTTTCCAAGTTTAACAAAAAATTATAAACCCACAGATCCAAGAAATTCAGTGAAACCCAAGCATGATAATCACACCAAGGCCCATCAAAATTAAAAACAAAAATTTTAAAATCATTCAGAGAAAACCAGCAATCACACACACACACACACACTATTCATTATTGCTGACTTCTCATCATAAACAATTCAAGTCAGCAGACAATGGGGTGTCATCTGCAGTGAGGAAAAATATGTCAACCTAGAATTGTATAACCAGATGATATGTCTTTCAAAAGTAAGGTCAAAATAGAAATAATTTCAGTCTTTTGAGAGGTTTGCTGCCAGCAGACATGCACTATAAAAATGTTTCCTTAGGCCAGTGTTTTTCAACCTTTTTTTAATCTCACGGTACTTATAGTTAAGCTTCCATGGCACACTTAAATTATATTGATCAAAAGAAAGAGTACAAAAACCAAAAAGTATATACTGACTTTTGTTTTTCTTTCTTTCTTTTTTTTTTTTTTT